ACATACTGAGAATAAAGATAAATCATTACACACATTGATTGTCTCTGCGTTGTCTGTGACTGTTGTGTTAACATCACCCTGCACCTTGTTCTGTTTCATGTGCCTTAGCGGGTTGGTTCCTCTATTCTTTGCAGAAGGAAGTTGTCTTCCACCCAATCGAGGAACCTCCTGGATTGCTTGTGCCAGGCGGTAAAAAATTTTTTCACCTCCTTTGTCTGTGGTGCACTTGTAATGTTGGAGATGATTTGTAACTGCGCTGGCAGCAATGCACAAGAATGTGGACATTCTTGGTCATCATTTCCATGAGGGTGGTTTGTAGGACACTGCAAGGACCCTTCTGAGATGTGGAGGGTTTTGTGCTCTGTTGGGTTGAAGGAGACACTCTGTGTGTCTGACTGGTTTTCTGACAAGCATTTCTTTGTTCCTGGCCTGCTCTAATCCTCAGTTTACACAACAGCTCACATATTCCATCTCATCCAAACCATTTCACTGTACGGATGCAGAAAGGCAGCTGAGCCCATCCTCAGCATAATAAAAGTGAGAAAACACAAAGGGAAGCACTACTGGAGATCACAGTCAATCCCTTGATGTGATATTTTGTTAAGAAGTTTATACTCGACAGTCATCTTATGACTTGTTTTGCTGGGCTCTGAATACAGCAAGGATAAACTTCATGCAGATTTAAGGAGAGGCTGTGATAAATCCGACTGGGGTTGAATGTGATACAGATATCTGTTAACAGAACAGTGGCTGTACCTCCCAGGGTGAGATGCACAGGGGCAGGTACACATGGTCCAGCAGCAGCACAGGCTCCCTGTGAGGGAAAAGATGATCATAGAATCATGGAATAGCGTGGGTTGGAATGGACCTTCAAAGGTCATTTAGTCCAACACCCCTGCAATGAGCAGGGACATCTTCAACTAGATCAAGAGATGCACTCCCACCACTGGTACCCAGGTCTATGAGTCAGTAAGGAGCAGTCCTTCAGGCGTATGGGACTGCCCAAGCTGTTTAATGGACAAATGAACAGAGGATTTGTATTTATGGCATTGTCTGGCACCTTCTGACAATGTTATGTACAAACATGCTTTAAAAGGAAAAATAAAACCCTCACCTCCCACAAGGAGTGAATAGAAATATGTCTTCTGCTACTGCAGTGCTGCCTACAACATAAAATTCCTCCAAAAGCTCTTTCCTAGCCATTTAAACAGACACAATAAACTACTCTTGGTCATAGATAATAAATTCTTTCTTTGCATGATTCTGACTGGCAAACAAGAAGAAACAAATGTACACTGGGTCTATGGAGGAAACCTGATGCTTTTTCATTTTCTCGGTTCAGTTTCATTGCATTAAATATACAGATTCCAGTTGCTTTTTTTTTCCAAATAATTTTAAAATTAAGTGTGAAGGTTGCCAGAAATATCATAACATGGTTTGGATTGGAAGGGACTTTAAAGCTCATCCAGTTCCAACCCCTGCCATGGGCAGGGACACCTTCCACTAGAGCAGGTTGCTCCAAGCCCCTGTGTCCAACCTGGCCTTGAACGCTGCCAGGGATGGGGCAGCCACAGCTTCTCTGGGCACCCTGTGCCAGTGCCTCAGCACCCTCATAGTGAAGCATCATTGTCCTTCTTTTCTCAGTACTGCCCCATACCAGTGTAGTCCTGGCTCCCTTGGTCATGACAGTAAGGATCATCAATCTGTCCTGTTAAAGACTGGAAATGCAGAGAAGACCTCAGCCCACTCATTTCCTGAAGCCTCAGTAACTGCCCTGCTCTATACAGGCAGAGCAGTTGCATGTTCTGATTGTAAGGGATGCTTTATGCATGAAATACTGTGAGAAATGGAAAGCAATTTTCCTTTCAAAATGTTGGCACTATTACATCCAGCTGAGACACAGCTGCACAGGAACACATCACAATGAAAAATTACTTGGGAAGAAGGGAATTGAACTGAATATCCAGGCTCATTCCAAGGACTCAGCATGGTTTTAGAAACACGTTTCCTAAATGCTGCCTCACCCACCTCCTCCCACTGGCCCAATGGCCACTACATTGGTGTGAGTAGAAAGAGTGATCACCTTCTCCATAGTTAAATTTAACCAGAGGGGTTTGTAACGGTGAAAGAGTAAAAGTAATCCTCTGTGGAGAAGATGAAGAAATAATTAACCAAGAAGTAATGACAACCTCATGAAGTTTAACCATGCCAAGTGCAAGGTCCTACACCTGGGTTGGAGCTATCCCAGACACAGCTACAGGTTGGGCAGAGAAGAGATTCAGAGCAGCCCTGCAGAGAAGGCCTTGGGGGTGCTGGTCAATGAGAAAATGAACATGAGCTGGCTTCAGTGTGCGCTTGCAGCCCAGAAAGCCAACTGTATCCGAGGCTGCATCAAAAGGAGCACGACCAGCAGGTAGAAGGAGGTGATCCTGCCCCTTTATTCTGCTCTCGTGAGACCTCACTTGGAGTATTGTGTGCAGTTCTGGTGTCCTCAACATAAAAAGGACATGGATCTGTTGGAACAAGTCCAGAGGAGGGCCACGAGAATGATCAGGGGACTGGAGCACCTCCTATATGAAGACAGGCTGAGAAAGTTGAGACTGTTCAGCCTGAAGAAGAGAAGGCTGCATGGAGACCTCAGAGCAGCCTTCCAGTATCTGAAGGGGGCATATAGGGATGCTGGGAAGGGACTCTTCTTTAAGGACTGTAGTGACAGGACAAGGGGTAACAGGTTAAAACTTAAACAGGGGAAGTTTAGATTGGATATAAGGAGGAAGTTCTTTCCTGTTAGGGTGGTGAGGCACTGGAATGGGTTGCCCAGGGAGGTTGTGAATGCTCCATCCCTGTCAGTGTTCAAGACCAGGTTGGACGAAGCCTTGGATGAGATGGTTTCGTGTGAGGCGTCCCTGCCCATGGCAGGGTGGTTGGAACTAGATGATCTTAAGGTCCTTTCCAACCCTGACTATTCTATGCTTCTATAATTCATTGGCCTTGTTTTATGGAGGTGTCATCCAATAGTAATTTCCTTACAGCTTCCCCTGTTGGGAAGATACTGTGCACAGGAAGTCGTGAATCTCTTCACATAAGCCATCAATAATACATAAAAAAGGAAAGGCAGAAAAAAAAACCTGGTAGTAACAAATCTTTTACTCACAACTTTCATATGCAGCTTGCAAAGAGGTGTCTTTATAACATGACAGCATGCTTCATCAGTCTGAGGTGGTATATTGCTAGCAGGACTGAAACAGCCCAGCCTAGGGCCAGGCTCCGTCCACTCCTGAGGCAGGAAATGGTTGCCCACTTTCACTTAAATCAGAAAATATAAATGAGATTTTAGCATGAACCAGATCCAAACTTTACATTTGAGCCACTCACTCCAAGAGAGACATTGACGTGCTGGAGCAGGGCCAGAGAAGGGCAGCGGAGCTGGTGCAGCGTCTGGAGCACAAGTGTGATGAGGAACTGC